TAAGAACGAATTATTTATCAAAAAGTAATCAAGAACTATCACCTAGAGGGTATCCTGCGACACACTTAGACTCAAGCTGTAAGAGAAAATTCCAAAAAGAAGTTTGTAAAAAATGAATCCGCCTCAACAATATAGAACTTATCTACAACTTGGAGAATCATGCCCCCAAAAGAATCTGTACAGTTTCAATTTTTCTTTCAGCCAAGGAATTTTTTCCGAAAATTCTATGAATAAAATTCACTTTAACTCTTAATATTTTTTGGTTTTGGAATTTTTCCCCCAGTGGATCTCGTAAGAGCCTAGAGAAAAACTTTCTTCTTTGCCCCCCAGATCACTTTTTTCCGATTTTTCCCGATAATCAGGAATTTTTTTCTGGCTAACCAAGGTTTCCAGCAAAAAACTTTATTCTTTATTAAAAGTCCGGCATTCAAAATAACACCCTTTGGTAGCTTTTGCAAATCTCGCACATAAACATTTTTGATAATTTTCCAGAAAGGTGGTTTTCGAAAAACCTAAATATCTTCACAAAAACTATAGAGGAATTTTGAGCACGCCATAATAGGAAGGGCCAAATTGCATTAAAAAAAAAAACCCTATTCACTTTACTTCTCAACCGATTAATAAGCAAGCTATTGAAACCTTTTTAGGGAAAGTATCGTAATTTTTTCAACATTTTTTTTACACGTACTTTACATGGGGTTGAAATGGAACATTTTCCCCTTGTGTTAAATAGGGACAGTTGATGGCGATTTGGGGCGTTTTATGGTGATTAGAAGATCCAGGCTCCAAAAGAGCTTACAAAATTTTCCTTTTTTGCCATGCAGGCCATCCGACAGTTTTTTTTACGAAACAAACCAACCCATTGTAGAATGTCCTTTGTAGGCTTGGGTAACTCACTGAATTTTTAGGGGTTGGAGGGTCTCCTAAAGCTTTAATCAATGCTTTTAAAACTAATTAACCGACGAGTTATAACTCGTTAATTTAGAGAGCGGCAGCAACTCAATAGCGCAACTCAACACAGTGTTATCCAGGCCTTTGCCCATATAAAACGCTCTGTCAAGTAAACACCAAAAAAATTTTCTTTTTTGTCTTTTGGTCGGAAAATTTAGCGAGGCCACTAATTCTCAAAAAATGTTTTCTCCTAAACGAAGATTTCTATCGAACAAAGGTATGTTTTATAAAAAGGCGTGCAAGCCTCAGATGAACGAGTTTTATGAAGTTTGCAAACGTGGTTTTCAAGAAACCAAAGTATCGCCAAAATGAAGAAACGTATCTGTTCTTCTTCTTGAAAAAATTCTGATAATTCCACTGAACAGAAGAGGCAAATTTAGCGAATCCACTAATCCTCAAATTTTTTTCCTCCCAAACGAATATTTCTATCGAAAAAAGGTATGTTTTATAAAAAGTCGTGCATACAACAGCGCACCATTTAGTGATTTTTTCAAACCTCTCAGATGAACGATTTTTGCGAAGTTTGCAAACGTGGTTTTCAAAAAACCAAAATATCGCCAAAATGAAAAAACGTCTCTGTTCTTCGGCTTGACAAAATTCTGATAATTCCACTGAACAGAAGAGGCAAAAATAAATAAGAAACGTAGGATTCATTTTTCCTCTAATCGACTAATAAGCGCAAGCAGAAAACTGAATGTTTTGGTATTTCTGATCACATTTTTTGTCCAATCATCAATCAATTATTCAAAGGTCCAATCAATCAATAACGCTAAAAATCAGTTGAAAATTTTCGAAAAGTGAACATCTTCCGGAACAGTGACACCCACACAAACTTTACGTGGAGTTTAAATGGCAAAAATTAAATTAATTGGAATCTCTTAAGCCCCAATGCTCCCGAAATCTGTTAAGAAACCCTGGAAAAGTTCGTTGGGTGAAAATCAGATCATTTGGGGTGGGTTTGAAGCTTTTATGCTGGTTTCAAACCAGCACCCAGACGAGCCTGCACAAAGTTCACCTTCTTCGTCTACTGGCTGATCGGATAATTTTTTTCAAAACAAACCACCTCACTTTATCCATAAGAAATATTGTGTGCGGGAAAAACGACATTTTTGTTTCTCAGTCAAAACCTTTCTCAGGCCACTGCAGGACTTCTGCAAGAGTCGATTCTCACATTTCATTTTTTTGGCTCGAAAATCGAGCCTCAGTTGCTCTCAATAAAATGACTGGCCAGTCAAAGACTACGCAGCAAATTTCTTTCTGAACAATCACATGAATAGTCTGCGAGAAATTGCCAAAAACATGTGTTCTGCATGCCTCCAAAGCCAAAAACGATAGAAAAATTCTGAGCCCGCCACTGAACAGAGGAAGTAGTTACTTTGTTTCGAAAACTCACGAGTTTTTGGTTTCGGACCAGATTTGTGAAACAAATCGCAAGCACATTTTTTCAGCAAAACAACGTTTAACAACCCAATTATCATTTTTATTGAAAATTGCTCATTCACTTAATAGTGGCGATTTGGGGGGTTTATTTCGAGATCCAGCCCGAATAAAAGCCTAAACAATAATTTCCTTTCAATTTTTTGCGAAACAAACCAACCCATTTTGGCAGAAAATTTCATTGGGCCAAACCATGAGATTTCGGTCGATTTTCAAGTTTAATTTTTTTCTGGAAAACAAAGCATTCTTTCAAAAAAGTAGATAAGTTCTATATTGTTGAGGCGGATTCATTTTTTACAAACTTCTTTTTGGGTATTTCGCCTCAAAAATGTTTGTCTTTAAAAAAGACAGA